TTTTATTTGAAACAAGTTGGATTGTTTTTTTAGCGAAAGTTACAAAAATTTTCCGGTTTTTTTTGAAACACACTGTACATAAATATTTGTGTACAAAATTCCATTATTATTATGCTTAAACCCAATTCGATTAATTAGTTCATTTTTTTTGAGAGAAGAATTCTTGGTGTAAAGACTGCAGTAAAGGAAGAGATGGAAGGAAAGCGTTTAAAAAAGCCAGTATTTTGAAATGATAGATATTCATTGCTTTTGCTAAATTCTTAGTTTATATTGCCTTTTATTTTTTAATAATGATCAATATATACACACATTTCAGCAAAATGCTGCGCCCTTATAAATCTAGGCATACATGTTACAATGGCAGCTGGAAATTATTATGGTGCAAACGCTTGTGCCTTTTCACCTGCCTCTTCATCTGAAGCCATGACCACTGGTTCTACAAATATCAATGATATGATTTCAAACTTTCTAATGTTGGTCCTTGTATTGATATTTTTGCACCAGGTATATTATACTACTCTAAATCCGAGGGTTTTATTTATCTATTTATCTATCAATCAAATATTGAAATTTTTATCTCAAAATTAGGAGAATATTCATTCAACATGGATTGGATTACATGGATCAAAATTATTGTCTGGTACAAGCATGGCATCTCCCCATGTCGCTGGTGCCATAGCATTAATCATTAGTGAAAAAGGTAATATGTCACCAAAAAAAATGAAATCAATGATAATAAAATTGGCTACTCGTGGTGTATTGAAAAATACAGAGTCAATCAATCCACCTTACCATAATAAGATGTTATATGTGAATATTTGATTAATTAGTTGTACTGATTATGGAATTTTTTGTTGAAATTTTTCTTAATAAAAACAATTTTATATTTTTATAAAATGCATTTTAAATTGAATGATTAAATTACTAAATTATTAAAAATTATTGATATTGTCTATAGATATAGATACAAGTATAGAATTCTTATTTGAATTGCAATATTAATTATTTAATATTTCAATTATATTGTTTCAAAAATATATTAGCATTAAATTATTCAATTAATAAATGATTAATAAAAATTACTTTTCTCCTACTTTCTTTCAAATTAACATAACCTTCCCTCTTCATCCTCTCACTTTCCTTCCTTCTTCCTATCAAGGAATTGATGTATACCCATCTCTCCAACGTCTCCACCATAACAAAGGATTAAGTTCATGCCCAAGATTTCTCCAGTGTAGTATCCATGCCCACCCATACGCACCAGAACTACCAACAAAACTAAACAATAATAATCCAATAACAAATCCAAGAAAAGTTTTACCAATGGGTTCTTCTGATACATGTTCAGGCAATAGAACCTTATCAACCAAATAAACTGACCCATTATTCCTAGCTTTACCACTATTTAGTATACCTGCCTTGTCCATAAAACTCCAGTGTCCTTTCACCTCCAACATATAACCACCTTTGAAAATATCTTTTCTAACCACAAGTTTAGCATCATTGGATAGTAATGTTTGAAGTTCTTTACCTTCTCGAAGATCCTCAATTTCTCCAGGAATAATATGCAGTAGCAATAAACGTGCTACTCTTTCAGCATCATCAAGCAATTTTGTAAAATTCATTTCAATAAATGCTTTATCTGTTGGTGACAAAATAGTGTATGTCTCATTTGAGTCTAATATAAGTTCTGTGAGATTTGCCACTTTTATCAGTTCTAACATAACATCTGCATCAGCTCCTATAAGCAATTTTTTCACTGTGACAATTAATGATGGTGGTAACAATACATTATCAATTACATGCATAACACCATTTGAAATTAAATTGTTACTACTGGTAATAACTGAAACAGAAGTAGTAGCGCTGTGACCATCTTCAATGTATACATCAGTTCCCTGCTTTATAATTTTAAGTTCATTACCTTCAATTGTGTAATGTATTGATTCACCTTCAGGTATATCTTCAAAATACAAAATTTTATCAAGAACATGATACCCAACCATCAAATCTAAATCAGCTTGTCCTTTTGAAGTTAACAAATAATGATTTATCAAGCCTAATTTTGTAAAACCACTATTTATAGGTGCAAACACAGTGATTCCTTTAGCATCTAAAATAGAATTTAACTTTTCACTTGCTGACATTGACAAGACAAATGCTGATAGTTGTTTGTTTTGTATTATAGTTTTCATAATGTCAACTGGTAACTTTTCAACTTCTGAAATCATATAAATTATTGAATTATCAATTTCCACTGGTTCATGTTTATCAATCACAATTGCATTATTAAATTTGATGATGGATGAAGAAGGACTTGTCAAATACTCATCATCATCATCATCATCATCGTCATCATCATCGTCATCATCTGTTTTTAGATGAGGATATTTTTCTTCTATTAACACTTTTATCCTTTGATTTTGATTGTTCAATCTTTCAGTTATCAATTCAGTTTTTATCAACATTTTATTTGTTAAATTATTTATTGTGTATTTTCCATTCAAGAAATGATATTTTAAAATTTCTTTTGTGTTATTTTTGTTGGTGTTTGGATCAATATAAAATACATCATTGCCCGGTGCTAAAATTGTAAAAGGTTGTGTTGTTAGTTCATCAATATATTTTTCCAAATGGTTTTCAATTATTGAATCTGCAAATATTGATGCATTTAAACCACAAAGATATTTATGCTTTGTAAAGTATAATGCATTTGGTAATGATAAATTATTAAGAACATGTATTACACCTATCATATATATGAATTAGTATTGTTGTTATTTTATATATTTAAAAATCAATTGATCAACCATAGTAAAATATTTACCATTTTCTGCCAACAAATTTTTACGTAAAATTAAACCATTACCAACATAAATATCATTTTGATTACGTGATATCTTTAATTTTTCACCTTGAACTGTATCAACTACAAAATATTAATGATATTAATAAAACCATTAATTTTTCTTTCCCTTGATGATTGATATATATATATATATATTACCTTCTGATTCACCATCTTGAATACTTTCAGTATATAAAACTTTACTATAACTTAATAAATACTTCACCAAAAGATCCAAATCATTAAGTCCTCCACCACATTCTGATGTTAAATAATTTTTCTGGAAATATTTAAGTTGATGGTTTATAGCATCATTTGTAGGTACAAACACTGTTGTGTGATTTTTATCTTTAAGAACTCTGTCTAATCCTTTCATTTTAAGATAATCAGTAAATAGATTTGTTTCAGCAATCAGAGATAATGTTGTAACTATATAATAATAACACAGCAACATTATTATTATTACCATTACAAATAATAGTAAGAAATGAAGTGAAAAAAAAAATATAACTTACATATATCTTTTGGTGGGATTAATAACTCAGATACAACATGAATAATACCTTTAAAAAATATACAATTAAAAAATTCAAGTTTTATTTTATAAAGAACACAAAATTCATTTCATCACATTATTTATTTTTTGGTTTACCATTATCTGATTGTAAATCAAATTCTGTGATTTTTGCATTTCCAACAAAATATGTATTTTTTTCATCTATCTCGATATTAAGTCTTTGACCAATGTTCTCACCACCCAGTTTTTCTCCCAAATCTAGCTGAGTTACTAACAATTCTTCATTTTTAAATCCTTCTTTCTTGATCTCTTTATATAAAATATGATAAAGCATTTGATCCCTGGTGATATCCTTAATATCAAGGCCTTTAAATGCCTTATTGTCAGGAGCAAAAAAGGTCGCAGTCTTCAAATGATTTATTAGAGGAATGAGTCTGGTGTTTTGTAAAGTTACCAACAATTTGTAAAAACGTTTCTGTTCTGATAATGCATCAATAATAGTCTTTCTTGC